TTACTCCTTTTTAATTCTAAAATTACACCTATAGCAACTGATATTGTCAAAGAGCTCTAAAATTCTGTCCCTGTAGCTTCTTTCAAGTTGTCTTTACGGAAAAGTGTCTAAAATTATCTAAAGAAGCGTTTTTATAGTTGTGGGAATGAGAAGATGAGACAACATGAAGCAATCACGAGGAAAGAAGCTACAAAGTTTATAGATTCAAATTTGATACAAAATTTGTTAAGAGTTCTAAAGCCAGAAAAATTTTAGCAAGCCACAAAAAGAAAAGCTCAAAGTAAAATAGAAAGATATATTTCACTCCAACCCAGAGGTAAAATGAGAGTTCTTGACACATATTCTGCCATGTTCACATTCTATGTGCATAGCAGACACCACTAATTAACTATATAGCACTCTATTAAGACAGCTCAGAGCTTGTCTCAAAAGGTCTTTAATACTGGGCTCTTGTAGGAGTTACCAATGGGTTTCAGTTCACCAATGTGTCTCTAATGCCTAGGACAGTTCCTGGAACTTCGTTTGTGCTTGGTGTTTATGTGTACACAGATGAATAAATTGAAGTTGACAAACAAGATTAAACCTATTGCCAAAATTAGGGCAGTGATTAATATTGATGAATAATAGTAACTAGAAGGGTAACCTTTTTGTCCAACCTCCACAGAATAGATGGGTTCTGAGAAGATAAGACCTTCCTGGTCTGAGAATAGGACAAACTTGGCACAAAACTATCCCATAAATGACCTGCAACTACAGAGATTTAATTACAGCAGTGAAATAAATTTCTAGAAATAAGACATGAATTAAAACTAGTAAGATGAGCTGAGTGAGAGAATGAACACAACTGAGACCAAAATTAGTAGTCTAGAAGATCAAGAGGAAGGAATAGTTCATACACAACAAAAATATGATGAAAGAAAAAATAAAAACAGAGTACAGAACCAGAAGCTCTAACATGAAAATATTTAGAGTTCCAGAAGAGGAGAAAAAAGAACAAACACATGGAAAAACAATAATTAAACAAATAATGGGAAAAAGTATACCTGTGTTGAAGACAGACCATAAGTCAGCCTGAATCCAGAAATTAAAGTTTCAGGTAGGATTAATAAAAAAGGATATACTTAGGCAAATTCTAGAAAAAGTCCTGATCTTTAAGGATGAGAAAGTTTTACACAGTTCCAAACAGAGCAAATTCCTTACAATGCCAAAAGAACCAGAGTGGATCAGTCTGAAAGACAGAGATAATTAAACAATAATATCTGTAAATCATGAGAGAAAATGACTACCACCCGGGGATTCTATTTCTAGCTAAGATATGATTTACCTATCAGGATGAAAGAAAAATATTTGCATAAATGCAAGAATTGAGTATAGACTGCCTGGATATTTATCAGAAGAAAATGTTTGAGGAAAAATCCAGGCAAACGAATGAGCAGAGACCTACAGAAAGGAAAGATGGGGAAGGGAAGCAAGAGCAATGAGCAATGAGCCATGTGGTGTGTTTAGCTTGATTTAAATGGGTAATAACAGAGTGAATGGTGATGTTTGTAATATGACTACCAAATAAAGATTTTCAAAATAAAATATACATCCTTTAGAGAAAATATAATTAAAATCCGGCATTGACAGTATTAAACTATCTCAGGAAAACCTAAGAATTGAAGTGTGGGAATAAAGGCTCTAATTTGACTTCATTTGGTACAGGGAGGTAAAGAAGTAAAACTTATTTCAAAGGTCTCATCACATTGGGGTGCAGGAGGACAGTGATGGAAGAGAGCACTGGTGGTAGAAAAAGTTGGCATCTATAGAACAGTAGAGCAAACTATGTATTTGATATGTGCCAGAAAAATACAATAAAAGTGTGTGATGGAATTTTCAAATTAATAAGTCACTTAGTTGTAATACAGTTAGATTCATTTGCCACAGTATGAATTTCATCTTGGGTTTCCTTACACTTTGTTTTTATTAAATTGCATACAGTAGAATTTACTCTTTGTGGTGTACAGGTCTATTGGATTTGACAAATGCATAGAGCCATATATTCAAAACCAAAGTTACATACAAAACAATTCCATTGATCCAAAGTTTCCCTTGTTCTGTCCCTTTGTAATGAACCAGTCTCATCACTCACAGTTTTTAGTAATGATTGATCTTTTTGTAGTCCCTATAATTTTGCCTTTTCAAGAACATCATATAAATGGACTGATTAAATAATTTTCTTTGAGATCTTCTTTCACTTGGCAAAATAACTTTAAGATTTATCCACGTTGTTAGATGACCTAACATTTATTACTTTTTTATTGCTGAATAGTATTCTATTGAATTAATGTACCACACTTTGCTTATCCATTCACCTGTTGAAAGACACCTGGGCTGTTTTTAGTGATTATGAATAAAACTAGTATAAACATTTGGTGTTGAATAGGAATGGTGAGAGAGGACATCTTTGCCTTGTTCCTAATCTTGGGGGTGCCTTCAATTTTTTACCATTAAATATGATGCTTACATAGGTTCATATAAATATATTTTATTAAGTTATGTAAATTTTCTTCTTATCAAAGTTTATTTCATGAATGGATGTTGAATTTTGGTCTATGCTTTTTTTTGATCTACTGACATAATCATATGATTTTTTTCTCCCTTAGTCTGTTAATGTGGTGAATCAGCCTTGCATTACAGAGATAAACACCACTTGGTTATGATGTGCTATCTTTTTTATACAATGCAATATTTGATTTTTTAACATTAATATTTTGTTGATGATTTTTGCATGCCTGTTTATGAGTAACAAAGACAGTTTTCTTTTCTTGCCTTTGCCTGGGTTTGGAAGTAGGGTAATGCTGGCTGTGTTAAATGAGTTAGAAAGTGTTCCTTTCTGTTCTATTTTCTGGGTGATATTGTATAGAAATAATATTATTTCATCTTCCAATATTTGGTAGAAATTACCAGTTGACATTATCTGGGCCTAAAGTTGTTTCTTTGCTTGTTTATTATTGAAAGGGTTTTAACTATGACTTTTAATTTCTTTAAAAGATGTCAGATGCTTTTACTTATTCCTTTTATTGAGTTTCAATAACTTGTGTTTTTAAAAAATCTGGTCAATTTTATCTTAGTTGTCAAATGTGTGGGCATAGGGTTTTTCACAGTATTCTCTTAGTATTCTGAGAGTTCTTTCATATTTTGCTTTTTAATGTCTGTGAGGTCTGTAGTGAAGTCCACTTTTCCATTCCCAGTATCAATAATTTTGGCCTTCTCTTTATTTATTTATTTATTTTTATCAAACTGGCTAGAAGTTTATAAACTTTGCTAATAATTCTTAAAAATATCTTTTGGTTTTATTGATTTCTTTCTTTAGTTTTTCAAATTCATTTATTTCTGCTCTTTTTTACTTCTCTCTGCTTGCTTTGAGTTGGTATTTGCACTTCTTTCTCTAATTTATTAAGGTGGAAGCTTAGATTAATGACTTGAGACTTTTCCTCTTTCTAATACAGTCATGTGCTGCATAAAAACATTTTGGTCATTGACAGAAAGCATATTTAACTGTGGTCCCATAAGAGTGTAAAGGAGCTGAAAAATTCCTGTTGCCTAGAGATGTGGTAGTGGTCATAGCATCACAGCACAACCCATTATTCACATGTTTGTGGTAATGCTGGTGTAAACAGACCTGTACTGCCATTCATATAAAAGCATTGCACACATAATTTTGTATAATACATAATACTTAATAATGATAATAAATGTCTCTATTACTGGTTTATGTACTTACTATGCTATATTTCTTATTATTATGTGAGAGTATACTCCTACTTAAAAAAAACACAAAAACCTTAACTGCAAAGTAACCTCAGGCAGGTTCATCAGGAGCTATTCCAGAAGAAGGCATTGTTACTATAGGAGATGACAACTCCATGCATGTTATTGCCCTGAAGATCTTCCAATGGGGCAAGATGTGGAGGTGAAAGAGAGTAATACTAATTCTGATCCCATGTAGACCTAGGCTAATGTGTGTGTTTGTGTCTTAGTTTTTAACAAAAATGCTTAAAAAGTAATAAAAAACAAACCATTTTATAAATAGGAAAAAAAAAGCTTTTATATCAATACCGTACTCTTTTGATTACTATAGCCTTGTAGTATAATTTGAAGTCAGGCAATGTGACACCTTCAGCTTTTTTCTTTTTGCTTAGGATTGCTTGAGCTACTTGGCCTCTTCTTTTGGTTCCATACTTTAGAACTTTAGAATTTTTCCAATTTTGTGAAAATGACCTCGCTATTTTGATAGGGGTTATATGTAATAAAAGATGGCCAAAAATGTTGTTAATGATAGACCCATCAAAAGTTGGGATTTCATGTGATTTTTTCTTTATACTTTTGTGTATTGTTTGATTTTTTCATAATAAACAGGTATTATTTATTTAATTAGAAATATAAAGAAGTTTCACTGTGAGAAATAAAAGTACAACAAAGTGTATTAAACAACTTGAAAAATGTATCAAAAAATTTGAAAACTAGTGAGAAGGTGAAGACCTAGAGTTGCTGAACATAGAGAAGGAAATGGTGGGAGAAGGGCCTGGATCAGTTCCTGAGCAAAAAAAAGACACACCTAGGACTGACTTAGATCAGTGAAAAATAATGTGTTTTCAGCCATCAGTGTTGGGATGGGGGGGGGGTGTCAAAGCAAATATCACGAGCTGGGAAATCATCCTCTAAGCCCCAAATTAGATGTAAGTCATTGCTTGGTTTCTCTACCTTCAACAGAGAAAAACAACAAAAATCCCCAAACTGTATAATAGAGTCCCAATTCTGGAGCTGACAATTTAGAAAATATTTTAAATAGCTAAATTTTTCAGCATACTTCTCTAGTTTTAGATAAAATGTCATTCAGAAGGAGAAATCAGAACACAGAGTATTTTGTCTCCATTCAAGGGGAACAAAAGATTTAAACTAGTTATCCTCTTGCTACAGAATGAAATTACTGATTTCAGACCCTGTTTTTCCAACAGGACTGCTGCTGTCAGTGAGAAAGACGTGATCAGTTCCTCAGAGATTGTGTCAAAGAAAAAGTGTGCTCTTACTATTCTGCAAGAATTGTTGCCTTGAGATGCTTTTCAAAGAAATTCCCAAGAAAGGAAAATTACAGCTTTTGTCCTCAAGGTGATAAAGACCTGCTTTCCCGCCTGAACCCTGGCTTTGGAATCAGGTACTCGGAAAGCACGGTTTTATCTAAAACTTATTTCACTTATCAAGTTAGGCTGGTTATGCAAGCTTTTTCTTCTTTCTGACTCTTCATTTTTTCATTTATCAAATGGGAGTGCTGATAATAACATGGTGCAGAAAAGAATACTTATTTTATGTGTCAGTAGTGTAATTCAAATGTAAGCATAATCATAAAAATGTTGATTAGAATGGGCAATAACAAATGCCAAAGCCAAAGTAGCCTAAATAAATGTGGGATTTTTTTTCTTCCAAAGCCATGAACATAAGCTAATTGAGAAAACTGAGGGAGGCCTATTGAAGTAAATTAGGGCAGAGAAAATTTTTTTTATTTTCATTTGTTTTATTTCCGCATATTAAGGGGGGTACAGATTTAGGTTTTCAATAAATGACCATTCACCCCATCCCCCACAAATCTGAGTCTCCAGCATGACCATCCCCCAGATGGTGCACATCTCACTCATTATGTATGTTATATACCGCCCTCCCCCCCTCCCAAGTGCCCAATACCCTATTACTGTATTACCTATGTGTCCACTTAGTGCTCTCAGTTAATACCAGTTTGCTGGTGAGTATATGTGGTGCTTGTTTTTTCCATTCTTGGGAAACTTCACTTACTAGTATGGGTTCCAGCTCTAACTAGGAAAACATAAGATGTGCTATAACATTGTTGTTTCTTAGAGCTGAATAGTACTCCATGGTATACATATACCACATTTTATTAATCCATTCTTGGATTGATGGCACTTGGGCTGTTTCCACAGCCTTGCAATTATGAATTGTGCTGCTATAAACATTCGAGTGCAAGTGTCTTTTTTGTAGAGTGTCATTGGATCTTTTGGGTAGAATGCCCAGCAATGGGATTGCTGGATCAAATGGTAGATTCACTTGTATCACTTTAAGGTATCTCCATATTGCTCCACAGAGGTTGAACTAGTTTGCAGTCCCACCAGCAGTGTAGGAAGTGTTCCTCTCTCCCACCATCCATGTCAGG